ATGCGAATATTACTGCCTGTTCTGACAAAATCTCTAAAATATGTATATTGCTCTAAAATTGAATGGTCTAATAATTATCTTTTTGGTTATTAAAATAATCGCCATAACCGTTAATACACTAATTGATAGATCCGTGAACCATTGAAATATTAACAATCTTTTAAATTTACAACTGTTATCATCATTCTATTAATTACAATAACCGTAAGAAAAGCTAATCTTAAATATGAAAATGTTTAGTTGGTTTGTGTGCGCTTAAAAAACTCAAAAAGTTCTGCACCAATAAAGCTCAAATTTTTAAATCATATACCAACCGATTCAAAGATAGTTTTTATCTATTTTTGCGTCAGTTTTATCACAATGTACCTCAGTAAAGCGTGGCCGGCTAGTCTTCTATAAATTCCTATTTTTTTTAATAAAACATAAAGAGAAAGAATCCACCAATGTCATGCGCTGTCGTCAAATTAGTTAGCTACTGACTCATCCATCAGAGAAAGATGCAAGACGCCCATTAAAATTCATTGGTATAGAAATAGTTTGAAAACTATGTCATTTAATGTCACACACACACACATGTAAAATAAATATCAATCAAATAATAATATAATATATTATATTTTTTGATCCAAATAACCGTTAGCAATTGTACTTAATACTAGGTTACATGACGATTAAGGTTACACATGTAACACTGGTAGAAATAAACCCGACTAGGAGTCAACAACAACAGGGTATTTCTGTAACTTGGGAGTTAGTGTTCTGTTGTCACTACAATCACAACGTCCTTTCTTTAATGGTTTTAGCATAGATTGCATATTTTCATATACATTATTAATACGAGTGAAGTTTTATAAACTCAAAAGTAAATTACACTTATATTAGAAGTGAAATATTTTAATAATTGTTATTCTTTCACTGCTAGATAGAGACATATTTAATTATCAGGACTATCAATAGTTTCTGTACCATTGGTACTGGGTATTTCCCTTTTTTTTCTGTGCGGAAATCCCTTCGGATACCACCCACTGGTTTGGTCGGTTTTTGGTCGGTTCGAGTCCGAAAAAGCCACCCCGGCTTTGTCGGACTCGAACCGACCAAAAACCGCACGGCGTCTCGGATACCAGTCGCCGGGGAACCAGGTTTACCCTAGAAAGGAAATCCCTGGTACCCGGATCTTGTCGGACCGGGACGCCATCTCCTTCGTGAGCATGACTTTCACGCAAAAGGAGACAGCGGAATTCCACGCACTCTCACTTCGTACCATGGCGGCAATCATGTTACCGAGCGAGAGAATTCCCACTCCGATGGCTGCCACGAGGACACGCCTCTGCTCCACCCAGCCAGCGCGTGGAGCGCCGTGTCCACGTCCACTATTTGCGGATCAGACACAGGTGATCTCCGAAGCATCCTTTCCCGGTGATCATCTGCGTCAGCCGGTATGAAAGGGTTACGTGATGCCTCTCCTGAACCAATCCTCCATAACGGATCTTACCGCAGCAATAACGGCGTTCGTACTGGGTATTCCCATGTATTTATAAATTTAGTAAAGAAAAATTAAATTTAAATTAACTGTCTACACGATAATAATAAAATAACGGTTTATGTTACACTGACCAACATTTGCATAAAATAAAACTTAATGACTTATGTCGAAAGTCCATCACCAAGCAAAATCTAGCACTAATTTATTGACTTCAAGCGGTTTATTCGCCTTTAACATTTTTGTACTACAATTAATAATAAAAATGTTTCGGTAAAGATATTGGCTGCCCAGTCTTGTTGTCCTACCTTAACATTAATTCTTACACAAAAGAATAAATAATTTGTTCTTTATTAGCGTAAAGCAGTAGAAAAATTAGGTAATGTAATGTTTGGCATTTCGCTCACCTTTTTGTAGTATTTACTTAAGTTTTATATTTAGTGTATTATTATACATCGTCAGAAGATGACACTAAGTTATATTTATGTACAGTAATGTTTATCTCATATAACTGAACTCATATATCTCATATCACATAAGTGAACTGTAAATTGTTCTTATGAGAATAAAAATTCTATAAACCTAAATTATTAAAATCGAATCTTTGAAATGGAGACAATGTTATAAAAGTAGGTGTTTACCTATGAAGAGGTACATTTTTAAAGCCAGTATTTTCAGATTTAATTATCTGTGGATTGGCGCACAATTCGAAATTCAAATAAATTTTATTCGAAAGCCATGTTATTTTAATTTAAGATTCAGTTGTTTGTTTTAGATAGTGTTTTGTTTTTGTAAATATATTGTAGTTTTTGGCGCCAGGGATAAACTGAAAATTCGTACAATTTTCGAATATGGGTTCCAATGTGGAAATACCACTGCGCAAACAACGCAAAACATTAACGACGTATACGGGACTAACACTCTTTGAATAAACACGTTCCATTATTGGTGCAATTATTTTAGAACTGGATATTTTGAGTTGAAGAACGAGCCTCGTGATCGGCCGGTAACTATAGTCGACCACGACGAATTGAAGGCGATATTAGACCCAAATCAATCTACAGCTGAGCTTGCTTTGGAGTTAGTGACAAAACAATATTAAGGGACTTGCGTCAATCGGTTAAAAAAGACTGCATAGCACTACTAAATAGGCATAGAAACGACAGAATTCTTAAGCGACGATTGTTACCAGCCATGAAAAGTGGATCCTGTATGATTACCGTAAGCGTTCGTCTTAGTGGGTAGACCCGGGTACAGCACCTAATCATGCGCTAAAAAAGATTACCCATAGGAAGTTGATGGTAACTGTATGGTGGATCAGTGTCGGTCTTGTACTCGTACATTATAGCTTCTTACCGAATGGCGCAATAGTGATGGCAGATGTCCATTACTAAGAACTGCAAACTATGATGGAGAAGCTCGCAATTCAACAATCACGACTGGTCACTAGCTCTTCCCCATTGCTTCTCCACGACAACGCGTGAGCTCACACTTCACGATTGACCATCGCAAAGCTGCAAGAGTAACAGCTGGCAGCTCTTCGTCGCCCACCGTACTCACCAGACCCTGCTCCAACAGATTTCTACTTTTTTCTAAGTGGGAAAAAATTCAACACCCGAGAGGCAGTAGAGCGCTTTCGCTGACTACATCACCTCCTGTCCAGCAGACAGTAAAGTGAGAAACATACTGCCAGTACTTTGATTAGCTAAAATGAAAAAGTAACCAAAATTGGAGAAAAAAAATCGTTTTATTTCAAACACCTTTCACTAAAAAAAACAAGTAAATCATTTAGATGGAACCTGCAAACGGACTCTTAATAGATAGTTTATTTTTTTAATAGATTGCTTCAATCAATGGTGATATAGAAAAAATACTATAGTCCATCTAATCTAAGAGGTACCGTTTGACGTTTCATGCTTTTCAAGACGAAACAACTTTGTAAAGGCGTAACTCATACAATTTCAATAACCTTTTCCATATAACCATGGGGTTATGTAGCTATTTTTATTTTGTCGCAAAACATGCAATTCTTAATGCCTAAATTTAAATTTAAATCTTTGAAACAAATCAAAATTACTAATTTATACACAACAGTTATTTTTTTCAAAGTCACGTAGTTAGGTCCTTTACCGTAGTGTTGCGGCTCTTCAGATTTACTTGAATACAAATAATTGTTAAAATGTACGAAAAATCGTCAATCAAATCAAATTCATCTGACATCGAAAACGCATAATTAAAATTAAAAGTATGTGGGTTAGTGTAATTTTAAACAAATCTTTGTTGGCAAAAATCGCTACTGTCCAAGTCTAGAGTATACTAAGATTTACTAGTAAAACCTATGATGATGGCACATCATAGGCTTTTATAGTAACACACATAAATCTGAAAATTGGAATCGATTATTTCATACTAAGAAATGATATCGAAATCTCTTAAGAATCAGATATTTTAGTAATCGATTTCTTTGACCCATCGCTACAATCTGCCAGAACTGTTAAACGGTACCTCTTAGATTGGATGGACTATAATCGGTATTTCTTTTTGGCACACCGTTAACGTTTTATACTTGATTGCTATTAAAGACAACTTTTGTTTTATGTTGAATCCATATTAGATTCTAATGAATTTAAAAAGCATTGTAAAACTTTAATTACTAACAGCAGTTTGAAATAATTACAAATGAAGTCAGATTCACAAATTATTTAGGATCAATAACCCGAAGGCGATTACCTTATTTTTTTCAAAATTTTACTTTATGTTTGTTCGAAATGGCAAAGGTTTGATCGATACATAAAATGACTTTGCAAGTCATCGCAAAAGTAGATTCGGAACTTATTGTGTAATAAGATAATTTCATTTTTAATATGTGTGTGTTTGGAAATGTGTAAGAATTTTTATTTCAAATATGTGTGCCCGTCGACGTCAACAAAAAGACTGCAAATCCGGCACTAGGAATACATCCTGTGTCGCGGGTGACTTTACAAATATACATGACACGGACACAAAGAACACCCAGAGTCAGAACAACAATTTGTGGATTCCACTAAGTGTTGTCCCATGTGGGGATAAACCCACAACACACAGGTCAGTGGAAAGCGGCGAGATGAAAGCTTAAACCACTACGCCATCCGAGCAGTCGACAATATGTGGGCGTTTAGTATTCTAAACGCTCTAGACAGAGGTATTCCTTTCGGGATAAAAAGTGAATGTATTTTGTTCTATTTAAAAATTTAAAACGGTGACGGATTCAGAATACAGAGTGTCACCACCCCTATTTATGCCGTGGCGACTAAGGGAGCAAACTACGAAGCATAACAGCACTGCAGAGAAAGGGAAAACTGGACACAAACCCTATACCAACCCGTCTGGCCAGGGTGGAATAGTAGACCAAAACCTCCTGGCTAAGGAGAGGCCTATGTTCAGTTTACATTAATTAATATTATCATATAGTGTAGTGCTTCAAGACATCATCCTCGGTTTTATATCTTCTATATTTATTTTCTACCTGCTATGTACTTACTTTTGCCATTCTGCACTGTGTAAGTTAAATCTTGGAAGTTCAGGTTGATGGGTGGCCGCTGTGGCAGATGGGAGAGGTGGGCATGACCCAGCCGGGCCGGCACGTCTACTGTAGTTGATGACGTCATCATTCACGCTGCCATTTTCAGGCGATTTAGAGAACCTGTTGACAGAAAAATATTAGCTTTAAAAATTGGGGTTTTTCATGAGAAAAAACTTGAGACATAAATTACCTTTCAAAATTAAAATTGTAAGCAGCCATGACACTATTGCAAAAAAAAACATTATTAATATAGTACAATGTCAATGAATACATAATTCTTCGACCGCATTTCTCTGCCACTGAGAACCAAGTGGAAGGACATTGTAACGTAACAAAGAAAGTTGTCTCCTATGCTTCTATTACTCAGTATTCTAACCTCCGAGAACTTTCCCAAACTAGGTCGGCTAACTTTCGATTTTTACACAGAACGACTGCTATCAGACCTTCACAACCCAAGTACTAGGTGGTATCGACGCTCTGTAGAAAGACTATTTAGGCATTTTCTATTGTCGCACTTTTTAAGGGTCCAATTACCCGTAAAGAGTGCCACAGTGTTCGTATGGCAAGCGGTACCGACAGCTGAACGTGCTCTCCGAGACACGGAAGGGTCTTAACTTGTTAAGAATTGTCACCCATCAATAGACCGACCTGGTTAGGATTGCTTAACTTTTGCAATGTGTTAATCTACTCGGTTACTACTTAGCCACGAGCCTATCACTCACCGAAATGCTTTAAACATGTGTCGATGCTACAATATTTTACAATATTTTTCTATGCGTTGTTACAATCATTTTTTTATGTAATCAGTCTATTAGATGAAGACTGAAAAACAGATTACGTCTTCGTTCCCAGTTAATCTTAAAGTTATTTAGACTGATACCTGTACATTAACTAGTTGGTTACTAGTTTAGTTCAAACCGCAGGTAAACTAAAACCCTAAATGAAATTTATTTAACCCTAAATGAATTTGAAATCATCCCAACTATTACTTATTTCTTTTAAAACAACCTTCATCATCGTCATTAGCCTATCGCAGTCCACTGCTGGACATAGACAAACAACCTTCATATTATCAAAATTAGAATCCAACTTCATAGGTATGCATCGTCGTAATCTCGGCTAAAAAGAATTTTGATTGATTTAAATGCCATTTATCTTTGTCTATGGCGACATCACAATCACATGTGAAATCGCTTAGACTAAAACCAATCATTTCATCAAATCATTATGATTTAAAGCAATCATTTCCATATCTACTTAGTACCTATTTTCTGTTGCTCCCACATATACCTGTATATAACTTATATAAATGTTGTCAGCCTACAAGACATTTCAAAGCTAACATTCCTACATCATGGCTGAACAAATTTCGGCACGACATTGACATAAAAGCAGGTCAAGTTTGTCTGAGTAATGTTACCCGCTAAATTTATATAAATCTGATATTTTGCAAGTCATGCTGATAGACATTCTTAGAATTATGTTCTAGCAGATTATAATGTTTTGTAAGCGCGTATTGCAATCAACATGAACAAATTGTTATAACATTATGACAATAATAAACTTTGTTTGTGCGATTCCTTTAATTAAAATTATGACTAAATTAATTATACATATGTATATAAGACATTTCTTATAAATGCCCGTTTTATCATACTTTCAACGTCACTATCTTGAAATCTATAGAGGTTAGCAGAATACCTGATCTCCGACAAAAGTTGTAAATAATCTACTATCTACCTATAGTATTCTTTATAACTGTACCCAATGAAAAACAAAGATAAACAAATAAAAAAAAACAGATTATTTTATCAATAAATCAAAGTTATCTAATCGAAACGAATCGTAAGAATATCTGTACATATATTACGTCAAATAACTGACCTTCCTCAAACTATATTGAATATCTTGCACCGACACAAACAAATAAATACGTATTTCCACGCAGTTGCTTGAATGGCCGCTCTCGTCCGCACGCGATTATAACTCTATGTACTCTCGTACCTTTCACTACGACATCACGTGTCTGCATCAGAAGCAAGCGGCATGACAAATGCATATAGGTATGTGTGTATGTATGCATTTGTGAGAAGATTAGGGGAGAGGTTTTGCAGTATCGATTATTTATGTATTATAAAATCACGACAGCGTGTAGTGTTAATGTAATCATTAGTTTGGTTTCTAATTACGTTCGCGGTAGACGTCATCAGGGGTAATTTGCTGCTAGGTATGGTTAGTCGTCATTACTAGCTGCGGGAAAGGAATAACAAAAGACAATTCAAGTACTCTTTTGCAAAAAACATAAACAAAGGGAATTCAAATAAAGAATGTCTTTATGTGAATAATCGACTGAAGAATGCAAAAGACTTAATCTCCTTTTTCATTCTTATTTTGAATTCAGATTGTTTATAATACGGAATATGGCAACCAATTTGGTATTGACACATAGGTATTTTATTCTTTATTTTAAGGACGCGACGGCGACGTTTATATATCTTTCTGTCAAATTATAATACATATAATCTAGGTTAGATAGTTAAATTCTAATAATTTTTATTTTTATAGTTGTATTAGCTTCTTTTCTTTTTAATTAATAACAACTGTAAATTAAAAACCTTACTGAAGAGACTTAATAAATTACTGTATACACATAATATTAAGCGTTTTTGTTCAGTGTTTATATATAAAAATAATATAGATAAGGTAACGTTAGATGCGGTTTACTATCGACGTAACAAAAAGGTACGTGCCTTTGAGTCGGTATTCACTAAGAGCCGTGAACCTTCATAGTTCGTCGTTCCAATTCTGTAGTGTCATTGACTTGGCCGGTGGGAATTGCAACAAATGTCTATATTGGAATAAAATCAGAATCACGTGTTATAAATAATATGATTATAAATCATATAAACTCACTTGTGACAAATTTACAAAGCCACTGGGACTTATGATTATCATTGCGCTAGCGCCAGACTCGCGAAAGGTCTTAATCTAAAAAAAGGATCATTGTTATTTAATAAATTTATTCTTTGCTTAAGTTTTTGATGGCATTTATCCTTGTCTATGACCACATCCATGTGATTTATCACAGGTGAAATCGACTAACACCAATCATTTCATCATATGGTTATGATCAAAAGTAGCAATAATTTAGGTCACTAGCTGTATACCATGTAGCTCTGTCTACCATAGACAGTGTGTATTTTTAAGTTTATTAAATGCGAAATAGTGTAACCTTCTTTTAAATAAAATAGTAAGGTCAAATATTTCGGCCATGGATATTAATAGCTATATTGTTTTTACTAAAAATATATTCCAAAACAGTCTGTATTTATTCACAGCTTTTTAATAGTACGTTGTCAATTTGATATTTTAAAGATTTTGTAAACGGCATATACAATTTGTGTATGAATGTTTTTGTTGATATTTTTAAATATTCACGTGATAATGTGTTACGTGTATGTACTTTACCCTAAACTGTAAAAATACCTAAAATCCGTGTTAAGGTTGTCTGGAAGAGATCGCTGTGGACGATAAGACCGCTGCTTGTTACGTTTACTTATTTGTAATCATCTTTCGTTGTTTTGAGTATATACAATAAAGATATAAATAAATAAAATAAATATACAACTTTTATAAAAAATATTAAAGTTCAATATATTTAAATTTTGTTAGATGAAATTTATTAGTATTTATTTGTTTGAGTTTTTTTTTTAAAAGACAACTCCCGCATTAGGACCATATCCTGTGTAGGGGGTGACTTTACAAACATACATGAAACGGACACAAAGAACACCCAGACTCAGAACAACAATTTGTGGATCACACAAAGTGTCCCATGTGGGGTTTGAACCCACAACACTCGGCGTAGTAGGAAGCGGCGTGGCGACCGCTTAAACCACTACGCCATCCGTGCAGTCAAATGGTGTCTTATAGTGAAATCTTTTAGAAAAAATGGCAAATACAACCCAGTAAAGTATCTGGGTCGACTTAACCAGTAACCCTGTATATGTATGTGATAGCACGAAGCATTGCATGCACCTGGCCAGCGACGGGTTAGATAGTACGTTTAGAGGTGAATGGAGGAGCGGAGGGAAAGTCTCCTTCCGTTCATACAACGAAGATGGAAAACAACGTTCGTGTGTATTTCTGACATTAGGTTGGCCTTGGCCGTTGAATAACTTTATAATAAAGGAGTATATTAATACACGTACAATAAGTGTGAGAATTTAGAATTAAATTAATTAATTAATTTTCTTAAAAACTTTTAGTAACTTTTATGACTTCAAAAAGGTTTCCATTAGACTTGTCGTATTTTTGTATGTTACAGCTCTACATAAAGATTATATCAAACATTCCTTTGTTTTAAATTAATTAATTCCTCGAGTCTTGATTGTTAAATTTGTACTGCCAATTTCACGTTGCCAATATTTTGACACAGAAGTAAATTGTATATACAGCGTATACATTATAATTTGTATTAATTTGAAATATCTCTATAAATAATACCCTCTCTCCCAGCCTCACACATACCACATACACACACCCTCACAAACATATACACACATCCACACATAAACATATATAATTACTTCATCACCATTCACAGCATTTACTAGTCCACTGCTGGACATAGGCTTCTCCTCAGAAAGGAGGTTTTGGCCTACTATACTACGCTGGCCAGACGGGTTGGTTAAGGGTTTGTTTTAAGTTGTGAAATGTTATAATGTTATTAAAGATTATTAATAATTTATTTAATGGATAGAACAGAACGTAACTCAGAAGTTGAATGCGTGCCAAACAGTGCAATACTAAAGTATTATACTTTTTCTAATTTAATACTATATAATATAAAGTATATGCAGTATTAGAAATACAACCAAAGAAACCAAATTTTTATAACATAAGTTATAGATAGAAATGTAATAATACGCAAGGTTTATATTTAAACAGGAAATTCTGGTACCCGTTCGACCGTTTTTATATATAAAAGAACTCATAAAATTTATCATATCCTTAATTATTATTATCTCGTTACATATAAAACTTAATTTCTAGTGCACCTACTCAGACATTTCCCACCACCCAAAA